TTGGAATGTTCATTAACATATGGAAATTCGTTAGACACTATCACATGCAGATAAATCGATGAATTACAAATTAAAGACACATGAGTCGCTTTAATGGATGTCAAATGAACATCCGTGTAAACTGTATTACAAGTAGAACAAGAGAAAACCAATAAATGAGCCAGTGGCCATGAGAAGTGTCACATTTGGAACTGGTCTTGAATGATATCCAAGATTAAGCATAGATCGGGAGTACTTAATTTCGCAGTATAAGTAATCGAACAATGCCCCGAAATTACGAAATACAAACAGTTAAAATATCGTTCCACACATAAGAAGACCTAAACTGATTGACAAGTTCATAGCTCTTTACACTCCTGGGAATTTGGCTATCTAATAGCTCCTGATTAAGAATAGAAAATTAGAACAGAGTTTTTAAACAATGGTCAAAAAGTAGTGAAACAGACCGACCACTTTCTTTCCCACAAGTCAACAACATTTGTCAAAGACTGTACTGTTTCTGATGAATAATTGACCACTAAACAATCTCTAAACTGAAGCAACTCTAAATTACTGGCTCAAAATAAGAAGCTTTTAATTATTTGTAGCAATGTCTCACCTCACTTCAGCAACCTATTGGAATTATTTTTTAGGAAAATTGTACTATTTTCCACAAAAATCTTTTCCTTGAAGAGAGGTGAATAATGACTTCATGCAGTTTTCCTTAGAATCAGGAAGAAAGTAATCTAAGACATTGAGATTATGTTACAAGTAATGGAGCTTCCATTGGCAGCTTCTATCAAGTAAAAACTTGCAGATGCGGTCTTCTGGAATTCCAAATTACTGTTTTATTTTATTGCAGATTGGTCAGGAACTAATTATTTCTGCTAACAGTTCATGTAATCAAGGATATATTACGATAATATCTCTAACTTTACCAATGCTTACTATCATGGATATATCAATACTATCATTCCTATCTCCACCAACTATTCTCGCTAATTTCGATAAAACAATAGCCGATACAGGATCCCTTCTATAACTTAGTCTTTCACATCTAATAAAGTTAATGAATAAAGACGAATGGACACCTTGCCTAACTTCCAGATAAACGAAACTCTTACAATGTTTCGATGCTTGTTTCTTTTTCCAGTTCATTCACGCTATGAAAGCGATCTGCCATCTTTTGCTGCTGTCGGTTTTCATCGTCAGAAGATGGTGTTATTTTAGATGCTGATGAGAACCGATCATCTGAACAATAATGCGTTCCAACTAAACCATAGATCCGATCACTCATAACTTTTGTTGTTTCTGCTCACTGTTGAGATAGCCCAAGTAATAACAGTAAAATAAGTTTTTCTTGTTGTAGTAGTAACAACGATTGTTAATGTAATAACAACAGTATTAAGTAACCAAAGCCTTCATAACGAATTTGTCGAATAAATGGATAGATTGAACTCATACGATCGTTGACAGAAAGATGCAAATAAAGATAAGGATGGTTTTGGCCAATTTATCTAGATTGAGATCTAGACTGGCGTCTAGACTGATTACCATATCTACCGTAGATATGGTAATCATTACGTTAGCATGATTACGAGAACTTTTTTTTTTTAACAGAAGGATGGAATCAGGGGAAAAAAATGGTGTTTGGAAAGATAAAAGTGATCAATATCCCACAGCAACAAGAAACTGAAACTATTGGGGAACCTATAGAAAGAACTTAAAATTTTGAAAATTAATCTGAATTGAGAAAAGGGAAAAATTCTCAAGCAATTTTATATACTAAGGATCAAAAAGTGATACTATTTACGAAACTGCTACCATCGCTGCTATTCGTTTATGAGCCTGTTCTAAGTAGTCCCTGCGCGAAGAACTGTTATTTTTATAAATTTAAAGGGGCCGATACTTGTGCAACTTAGTTTTCTTAAGGTATCTTATCTTAAAGATGTGATGCATCGTTATCTGTTTGATTTACTTGTAAGCATTTTATCTAGTCTAAATCATGCTTGAAGAAAAGGGAAGATTATTTTTAAAAAAAGAGTTATTCCAACAAGGTTATCCTGATGAAATCAAAATACAAAAAGCATCTCTTCCTTTGAATCATTATAGTAGCAACGGAAGAGCTGACATCTCACAGATTACAGGAAAACTTAAACAATGAAACAAATTCGAAACGAACAGGAAAACATTCGGGAGAGTGGAAAAATGGAAAGGTACTGATGAAAATCGAAAAAAAAGCAGAAAAATACAGCTCTCCAACGACAGATGAAACTGAAAGATTGTAAATGATGATGTCAGTGGCGGTAGTGATGACTATTTTGAAATCATGCAGTGGAAACTGCAACACTACCAGTCCTTTCTTTTAGTTCTCTCCATTTCTCGCAAACATTAGGAGACTGAACCACAGATCGCAACTAATAGGTTTACATTCAGTTATATTACTTTTTTTAATGAATTCCATGCAGCATAAAATGAATCACTGGAAAATGATGAAATGGAGTTCAATAACTGCCGATTTCTTTTGTTTATATAAATGGATGGCCAATTCATAAATAATATAATAATGTGTAAAATATCCTAATCAATTTATGAGAATATATTGCTGCAACGGCAACTGATATATTAACTTAAATCAACTTCATATTTTGATACGATACATACCATCCCTTCGGCAATTACGTCTTTTGATACGATACATACCATCCCTTCGGCAATTACGTCTATTTTAACTAACTATGCTGTATCTGAATCTTACTAAATCGCATGCATCAAAGACTCAAAGACTAAACCGCATGGATCAAAAACATTTAGCCATTTTTAAGATGAAAAGGAATGGATGGGGAAATACAAATTGCAGAAGAGAATGTATCCCAGTTTCGTCTATATACTTTTCATTTCCTATAAAAATTTACATTTCTTCTAAATCTTTCTACCCACGAGTGCTACCTTCGCGATGAAAAATGGAAAATAAATATCTCATTTTCTTTTTCAACAAAAGTCAAAGCCCTCACAGAAGACTCTGAAACCATAAATCATCTGAGTTGTCTTAAGACCAAGAGTTATACCTGCACACACAACTGTATCTAAAGCCTATGCACACAACCTGTATCTGGAGCCTATTTTTTAAACAATGAAAATTGACTAGTAGATGAAAGACTGACAGTATTAGAAGTTCCGTCTTAGAAGCTGGCAAAGAGCGCCTGATACAGTGTTTCATAAATGGCAGTAAATGACCAGAACTGGTCTTATTTCGAAGGCAAACTTTACAAAAATTACTTTAAAAATTCTCTTTATATGTTTCGATGCTTGTTTTTTTTCCAGTCCATTCACGCTCTGGAAGCAATCTGCTAGAAAATTTGCCAGAAAATCTTATTAGAAAATCAGAAAATGAAGAGACTATTTCTACGTTGTAGAGAGATTGGTGTTGCGGGAGATACCACTGAGAAAGATTTGGTTGGAAAGAGAGACGGATCAAATGTTTTGATCGTCTTCATCTGTATCTTCAATTTTCGATGTAAGACAAACCTGAACAAAAAACCCGGCCAGCATAGTTTGGAGGTGAATGAAAGAAAGAATGAAGTGAACAAAAAAATAATGAATGATTAAAAGAAAACTAAGAAGGTGATTCTAAGGGTATCAAAGCTGAATATATACATGGAGAGCCGTTGCACAAAGATTGTATTTCATATGCTTGCATTTCCAAAAAAAACTAAACTCTGCTTCTTTCATATTTAGAATTACCAAATTCCCTTACGGAACCAAAGACCTCTTACAAATTGTGGATACCATCACAGCTGGATAGCACTGATGAAATGTGGTTCATGTCAATCAGAAAACGAGCAGAAAACATGACTTTACCGGAAGTATCTATAAAGAAACAGAGTTTCTTCCTAAAAGTATATCCAGATCAGGTAAGCTTGGAAACACTGTCCAGTTCCAATTCATCTCTAAGTAGCACAAGATAGGTATTCAGAAATTCTGCAATTAAGAGATCTCAACAGCTGTCGCCCCTTTTAAGTAATTCCTGACCAAAATTATTTCGAATTCTAATTAATTTTGAGAAGTGCATCCGCAGTAATTTGAGCTCTGCAGAAGAATTTTAAGTCTACTCACTGAAGGGACGGATTCTATGACAAATTCTGTGATCCGATCGCTCCTGTCAAGTGAGAAATGCCAATATTTTGATTGCAACCATTCCTAAGAAATGATACATTATATTTCAACCCAGAATGGACCTCCTGTGCTACGTTTTTTAATATAATTATAAAACAAAACCAAAAAAAAACTACTAACACCTAAAAGATCTCGAAAAATCAAAACCAAAATAACTTATCACTAAACAAAATCAACCCCCCTATACTTGAAACAAACAACAAAAAAAGAAAAAAAAAATAAAATAAAATAAAATAAACAAAAAACTCCAACCATATAAAAAGAGCCATACAAAAAAATCATAAAAGAAATGAACAAAAACAAACAAACAAACCTCAAAATTATAAATAACGACTACATTAAAAAATCACTATATCCAAAATTATAATCCACTTTCATATGGTATCACAATTAACAAAGCCAAAAAAATAAAAAAAAGTACATATCAAACAAACAATAAAAAAGACCTATCAACCCTCTAGTCGTAAATTAAAAAAAAACTAAAAGGTCAAAAGAAGACATAAAACCTAATCGCAGATGACGAATTATACAAAATATACTAAATCTTCACAAAACAAAGCTGAAACAATCCAAATGCCCCAAACACTTGATTTTAATATTCAATTATACTGAAAGCTCGGAAAAAGCAAATCAACTTGCCAAAAAACCATTCCACATAAAAACTTGTAATAATATAAAAACAAAGAAAAAAGAAAGGAAATTATAAAAAGTTCCGTAAACTAAAACAACAAAAATGACAACCTCTGATTCAAAAACAACAAACATAAAAATAATAGAAGAAAAATTAAACTAAAATTAATATGAACCCTTGTCAAAACCTCAAACCTGCTGTACTCGTAAGAACTAATCTTACCATCATAAAAATCCTGCAAAGAAAAAGACAAAGAAATCAAATATATAAAAAAAGGAACCATAAAAGAAAAAAAACAACAATCAAATTCAAAAAAAGGTAAAAACTCATAACAATAAAGAAATCATAAATATTAACTACCATAACTTCCTTTTATATCCTCTAGGACACAGGCTTCTATTTAAATTATACTATGGTGGAAAGGCAAAGAAAAAAAGAGAAAATAGGAGGTGTGAGAGAAACAGGTATAAAATACAAATTCTTATTAGGGGACAGGAAGCTTCCAAAGAACAATGCTGTAATGCAAGAGGAGCAATGAATCGTCAAGTTGTCACATTTAGTGAAATGTTAAAAATCGATAATGGATCTTAAATCGATATTTTACCGAAAAAGTTGTAAACAGAGGAAGAGTGGGAATGATTTAGCTGACAAGTTTTAGAAGCAAACAAGCAATAAACTAACAGACGTCATCATCAGACTAGACAAACAAATTGATCAAACAAATCGACAAACAAATCTGCAGAACATTAAATCGAAGAAAGTGCTCATAGTATTAGAGGAAACGTTCAGAAAAGTGCTTCCAGAGGTACAGAATGAAACAAACCCATCACTGTTCCACACAACATTCCTACCCTGTTCAAACAATACTGAAAAATGTTTCTTTCATAATCAAATACTTAACGTTAGCTGTATTTGTCGTCTCAATGCAAGTATTAATATCGTCAACATATAAGACATAAAAAGGAGAAAAAGCCTATCATGAAATATGTGGCGTTTCAAAGTATATGCAAGGATATGGATGAAGATTAGGAAACAACTAAATTAAAACTATAAAATAATGGTTAATGATGACGGTAAATCAGTGCGGTTTATCATCTTCATCAAAAATGCGCGCTTCTTATGGGTCCAGTTCTATTCAAACTGCGCTAAAGATGTTTTACTTTGCGTTGTCTTGCTACTGCGGTTGTACTACAGCGATGGTATTACCAACTCAATCGTTGTTCAATAAGCAAACGGCAACATTCAACGTAACAAATCCAGTGTATCTGCAGAACATTAAACCGAAGAAAGTACTCGCAGTGCTAGAGGAAACGTTCAAAGAAGTGCTTGCAGAGACACAGAATGAAACATCCAGTATCACAGACCAAGGGGAAAACCATCGTCGTCGTCGTATGCTCCAGACAGATCGGAATATGCTTACATTGACGGGAAACCAAGAAAGAAGACTAAAGACGAAACGTATCAAGGCAATCATCAATCATTTTCCATCCAAAGCAGTTTAACTGAAGAAGCAACAAATTACCGCCTGATTCCACTGCGTCTTGATTTCGAATATACAAAAGTTTTACACGAACAAAATTTAGAATCTCAACATTAATCACTTTTAAGTTCCAATATTGCTGCTTAAAAATTGATGTAATTGTATCGCATGAAAATATAAAATCCGCCCTGAAAATACAAAGAAACTACCACTTTTCAGCTGCCATACTCCATGTGATGGACTGTCCACACAAAAATAAAAAACTCAATTTCGCGAGCAAAACATCTTAAATGTTATCCATCGACTTTTAAAAAAGCAAAGTCCGTCAAATTTAACGGATGAATGAGTATATATATATATATATATTTACTATGTACAACTAAAGGTTTCAAGCTCATGCTAGTGGATTTGAAAGTGCAGATACGTGACGCAAAAAATGTAAATTGTCTGGGATGAATACCCAGAAGGCCTAGTAAAGTGTCTAGGATGAATACCTAGAAGATTCGCTGAAGACCAATACCTTCCACATCTATTACATCACTGATAAGGTATAAAATCTGTAAACGAAATAGGGGTCTTAATTTGAAGTTACTTTAAAAATTAACAAAGTTGAAGTCAGAACAATCGGACTGCTATGATAACTGCTACTGGAAGGTTAAAAATCTGGAAGAGAATCAACAACCTTCCCAACGGGCTTCGTCGAGCATGACTAACAGAAGCATCTTGTCTGGATAGTTGATAGCGATCATTTTCTGCAGAGTTCACTCGACAGCTACCATCCAACACCGTCACCGTACGACGGGACTGACGTTTCGAGAAACCATCGCCAGAGTTACCCTGAAAAATAACAAGTTTTTTCCAATTTTTTTTTAAACACTGTTGAAATTATTACACCACATGAATTCAGTGTTTCGGTCAGTAAAATCCTCATGGAGGAGCCGGAAAGTAGTGCCGAAACTTGCGCAATTTTAACAGCATGCAACTGAGTTGGAAGATGTACTTACAACGGCAAGTTTGAATTTGTCCTTTGGAGATAATGATAAGTGGAAAAATGGTTGTGGGTCGATGGGTGTTATGGATGATGAGGTGACGATACTTGTAGTGGTGGCATCCAAACACCCACCGGCAACTGCTGTATCGTTACTTGAGGAAATCAGTTGCCGGGGCTGTTGCTGTTGTTCCTCCAAGGTAACCGTTGTCGTTTTTGTCGCTATTTTCGTACTTCAAATACTAAAATTAACTTAATTTTCCAATTACCACTGGAAATTTTATCGAATCTTATCGCGATACAAAATTATTATATTGCGTTCTTTAATGAAAACAAATTACCAATTACACAGATTTACAAACGAACATACATACGGCAACACAGAGTCAATAGTTGATAAAGTGTAAAAAGCCAGAAAGGATGAAGGAGACAACCAAGAGAGGAGGAATTCGGATACAAATTAAACATGTTGTTTCTTGAGGAAATTAATTCAGAATATCGAAATGAAAAATGTATTCTAATTAATTACGCATGAATGATAAATATTCTCTACAAGCTAAAATTTATATGAAAAAAATTTAAATATAATAAACACAGGAATGATAAATATCCTGTACAAACTAAAATTTAGTTAAAAAAACTGGAAACCATCGATTTAGGTCCAGAAACTTTTCCTCCAATCATCAGTTCTTTCTTTGAAACCCTCAGATACTGCAATAAATGACCATTTTATGAGTTGCATTTCCTATTTGTAATATGTTTCAAATTAAAGCATAAAAATGACTAAAGCAGTCTCAGAGAAATCCGAATAGAGTGAGTTCAATGGAACGGGAAGTGAGGAAGTGAAGGGTGCTGTAGGAGGATGACTATACAGCCATCATATCATCATAACTACTTCAAACAATTATGAAGTAATATTTGTTTTCATTATTACTAATTATGCATCGTCAACAAATTATCTATATCTGCAAATAGCTCCAGTTTTGGATAAATTCCACAAGAAAGCCACGGGAAAGAAAGGGAAAGAAAACAAGAGAAATGTAAAAAATACTGCTCCTCAATAAACAAGCTTTGAATTTTTTACCAAAAATTCCAAGAATTTTCTGTAACCTCATGATTCATCCAACATATGTATAACTTAAAGAAACAAATAGAAAAAATTCACTAACACAGATATACACAAACTACCACATTGATAAGCTGATTATCACCTAACAAATGATATTATGTCTGAAAAGGGAAAAGAGACGAGCAGAAATCTGAATCTATCCAACTTGCACTTCCTTTCCTCGCTCCAAAATTCCCATGAGGATATTTCTGCTTATAATGCCTTAATTGTTAATCATATTTATTTGTTTCACGAATTTTCAAGATTTAATAAGTTTTTAGAAACTGGGTGTTGAGATTGTGTCCATGTTAAGCCACAAGTACCTGGAATAAAAAAGGAAAAAATTAACCAAAACTTGAATTAGTTAACTGAAAATGGAATAGCTAAACCTCCATTTGCACATTTCATCAAACGGCGCTTTAATTACACATTTATCTCACTGCCAAAAATGATTCAGAATAGATGTATACAATACCATTAGATAATCGAATTGCTTAATCATAAATCCTTATGAGCTTATGCCTAAAATCGATGATCCTATTATTATCTTCTTTTGAGCGTTGTGTTTCTACAGGAATGCCACATTCCCCGGTGCGTTCCAAAAATGAATGCAAAATTCAAGAAAGAAATGTATGGGAATAATTCCCTATATTGAATTGATAATATCATCGGTGATGCTACTGTATCGCACTTCGCTGTGTATATCTATCAATTTGTTGAATCGCTTCGATCTACTAAACTTGACTTCCGTGCAGACTTACCGATTCACACGTCATACGGAAATATGAAAAAGTACATTGAAGAAAAAGCGTCCTCCGGCTTACAGCTTTACAATGCAAACTGAACAAGCAAGGATGAAAGGATCGTGGTTAGATTAGTCAAAAAGATCAGATGCTTTGCATATATCTATATCATTGGATAACTTATTGGTTCATCCAACTTATTACAACAGCTCCTTTGTGGCTGTTATTTCAAATTACTGCATCATCACGATCTGCTTTGTGACAAAAAATGACATCCAGTTCTTCGATAGAAGAACACGTTAGAGGATGTTTATACTAGATATCTTCCAAGGTCATGATTTGTATGAAATCATTGAGTTTTTTAGTATTACTTCTAGAATTCTATCAATTTTTCGCACATTTCCTCATCCCATTGTGTAACAAACATTTATTTGCATGCGAAATTCGATGGTTTTCAACAATTTATTGAGAGAAAAACTTTATAACATTGATGGCGTACCTTTACTAAAATACATAAAACATCTCTCATATTTCCATCAATTTTCTAGAAATTTTCTGCTTCTTCTGCAGCACTCTTCTACAGCAGAAAAGAGCAAAATTTAAGCATAGATTTTAGGGGAAACTTTGTAAAACGCTGCAATAACCAATTTCTAAAAAAAAAAAAAAATTCAACATCAATTAATAACTCACAATAGATAAAAATCAAAAACTATTATAAATTATTATTAAATTGTCACGCATTTCCAAATATATTAAAATTTAAGACCTGAAAAAATCATTAATGAATGAATTGGATGAAGTGATAAGATGAGTGAAAATTTAAAGTCCATCAGTTTCGTTGAAGAAGTAAGATCATGTATAGCGAAATGGTATAGGCGAATTCATATTTAGAAAGGTGCGATGATGCATTTCTTCTCTTGTAACTAAGTATCTTAGAAGTAACAACTGAGCATGATGATAGGCAACAACAAGAGAGAAAGAGAGAGAGATAAAAGGCTTCCTCTTGATTTCCTCTTCAGGCATCCTTGTTCCTTTCCGGAAAGCCTCATTCGGGAAAAATCTTTTTCTTCCTTCAAATGCCTTTTTTTCTTGGGAAACCAGACTAAGAGAAAAGTAATATTGGAATGAGAACTGAATGTTTCTATGAAAAATGAATCTTCACGAAAATCAATAACCGATATTCATAATCATAACGAAAAGACTGCTATGGTCAAGAAATGATAAGGAAATGACTAAAGATAAGTATAATTTCGGGAAATCCCTTAAAATAAAACTACAAATATATATTGAAGATGCAAATATGACAATAGCTCCAAGTAGCTCATCCACTGTTTTTGGCATCTAACAAGGCTTTGCTTAATATGTGCGTGTATTCGTGTGTATGTGTGCGTGCATGGTGTGTATGTATATATGTATGTATGTATGTATGTATGTATGTATGTATGTATGTATGTATGTATGTATGTATGTATGTATGTATGTACGCATGTATGTATGTATGTATGCATGTATGCATGTATGTATGCATGTAATAGTGACGACGAGAACAGATATTTGCAATTGATTCGATTGAATCCAGGAAAATGCATCTGTCTTGCAAAAGGGTGGTCGTTAATCTTTTAGTCAGAAATAGACGCCAAGCATTGTTAGGCCTGGAAGAGGGGGTCGAGAGTGCAATATGCTGATAGAATTGTTTGGCCATTCTATACTATTTGTTTATGTTCTATGTGAATGTGAGTGGGAATGTGCAAACCGTGCAGTCATGTGCAATCTACTGCCTCAAGGCCAAGGGAAAAGGATCGAATTTTTCCATCGCTGTCTTGGGAGTATAAGAAGGCTTATTTGTAAGCTTTCCAAAGATGTCCGCAACATTGCCTACATGTGCACATTTATATTACGATTAAATGTGGGGATATTATGAAAAAACATTTTTATAAGATCTGTGCAATACTACGGTCTATCACTTCAACCTTGACATGGCTTTCAGTATTTCCGTAAAAATAACCTGATAATCATATCTGGTATTTTGGGAATGGAAACCGCTTAAATCCGGACTTAAGTTTCCATCATGAATGGAAACATCATTTAAAAGTCAATAAAGCAAAGCTTACCTTCAAATCATAAAAGGAAAAGGCATAAAAGAGCGAGGCTTAAGGATAAGTCGATCGAAAAGCTGTACGAAAAAGAATGGAAGAGTGACGTATCCAAGTAGTGCATCGGTTCATCATGTTTACCACCATTTACACGGAAGTTGAAAGAGAATGCGTAAAGTGAACGGCTTGATTTGTGATGTGGAATTTCGATCTCACGTTCTTAGACGAATACACAGCGAGCTCAAAATTTTTTATACTGCACTTGAGCAACCAAAAAGAGTCACATTATCAGCGTTCCAAGGTTACTTACCTTCACGGTTCTTCATCACTTAGCTTCTTCATTTATTCTATGGCCTAAGCTCGATATATAATTCGTTAAGTACTATGTTAATAAATACTGCAATAATGATTCATACTTGAGAGCTAGTAAATTCTAAAATTATTGTGCCACAATCCTCCCGGCTATAAGAGAAAGTGGTATTTATCGGATGCTTCATGGACGGTTCTACAAACTAATCAACGAAGTTTGAAAAGATATAATGAAACATTCGATAATTACTAGTAACAACAACTAATTTATGGAGCGAAGAAGTTTCTTGAAATCGTGAGGTTTCAGACTTAAAGATGAAGCAAAATCCAAAAATGAAATCTATGACATCAGCATATAGAAGATTGAAACGCATGTAGACAGCTCGGCATTTGCAGGAATATATTGACTTAGTATCCCATTTGTTGTGTTCAAAATAACCAACCTGACCAATGACTCTCATCTGCTTCAGAGATGCTTTTCAGGTAATTTTCATACATTTCATTACTTATTATTACTTGACAGTAAACAGTTGGTAGATGCATAAAGTATGGTGTCGGTAATATAGTAATTAATAAGTACTTCAGCAAATGAACGTAAACGTAACTAACAGCATATTGACAATAAGAGAAGATTGAGGATATCCCTTGACCTGCTTCACTTGATATACTTCAAAACTTACCCATTGAACGACAGCTTGAGAATGATGCCGATGATATACTGGCCATCGGCAAAGCTGATAAGTACAGCCGGTTTGCTGATCTATCAGGAACATACAGAATCACAACATAATCACATACAGAAACATGACAGTTACATATATGCATGCCAGAATTAGAAGTGACAGCGAACCGTGAACCATCCTTCCTGATTTGAAAAACTTGAGAGAGTACCTGAGTTTAACGTGAGGTGGGTTCCAACAGATCAAAACCACCACTTCATTTACTACCGTTACACTCTTTCTCTGAATGTAGTTTGTGACTAGAAATATCAAATTCAAATTGCCAGTTAATGAAGCCACGAAATGAAATTCTTCGTATTCCAACTTGACCTATTTCAAAATGGAAATACACAGGTTCCACCTCAAAGTACAACCAGTCTCCTCCTCCTTTTCCGTGAATGTAACAAAAACGAGCAATTTTTATTCATACGAAGTAAAACAAACAACAATCAAAAATGTATAAGTTATTTGTATGCCACCTGATATTCTGCAACATACTAACTTCTCTTCCTTTTCTCTTTCTAAATCAGCATTTCAGAATGAGCTAACATGTCCTCCTGGATAGCCAAATGCCACTTCCGAATTATCCTAACAACTCGTTGAAAACAAAACTTGAAATTTTTCCCCCAGAGCTCAAAAAGAGTTCAAAATCATGGGTAACATCTTCATCCCTATCCATCATAGATTAATTCAGAACATTACAGGTGAATGTGCGAGAAAAGCCACTGACGCAGCTCTTAACTGTAACTATGATCAAACCTGACCTACCTCCCTTGGGAAAAATTAGAAAAGATTTAGGAAAGTTATTTCATTAGTTTCTTGTTTCCGGAACAGCACGGCGTAAGATAATCTAATTAGCAAATTTAGAAATTTTACGTGCCCACTGTTCCATCGAGTACAAACAAATAAGTAATTAAAAAAGGCTGTAGTAATGGACTTCGGAGGAAGAAAAAGTATATCTTTCCATGTGGAGTAAAAGGTCCATGCAGTAGTTTGCAATTTTTTAAACTTCGAACCAACCAAGAAAATGAGACTATAACATCAGTAAAGTAAATATTTCTTTCATCCATATTTAACGCTCAAATTCCGCATTCTTTCGTCTGTTCGATAGTCAGTAGGCAGTTCAGCTTCGACTTTTGATCGTAAAGCATACATAATTCATATCTACAGAATATGTGCATTCCAAAAATCTAGGAAAAATGTAAAGCTGGGTAATTCGACAATCAGAAAGGAATGTTTCCAACTGTGAAAGCTAATACTTTTTCTAACTTCTTCCTGGAATTTCTAATTGTTGCTTTAGGAGTGTAATCCATAAGCAAACATAAAAAAGCGCTACACGATCCCGAAAATTTACAGGAAAAGGCAATCACTGCAGAAGAGAAAGGCTTACCTAACCGACTTCGTTCGATACACAAGATTTATGTGTTCTCGATCGATGTCTGTGTCGGTGATGCTTTCTTAAGTTGATATACTGAATCCTATATAATAATACGAAATTGTTAATATAGTTCCGCTCTTCTTATTTCCCTTTTTATTTTATTTTTACAGTCATTTTAAATTTTTTGAACGCTAATTGGATTTTTTTTAAACAGTTCATCGCAACCTATGATCAATCGGTGCTATTAGCATCCATTAGTATCCACCAAAAAATTTCGTATTTTTATTACTCAGCTAAAGAAAACGATTAATTTCCTTGAACTCAATTCCTTGTAACTTATATGGCATTTATGATTAACTAAAAAAAGTGGTGATAAAAAATCCCCGATAGGTCAAAAGTTATTTTTAAATCTATGGCCTACAGAATAAGTATCACCGTTTTTAAGCTTCCTGATGAGTCATGGCAACTATTAGAGTTTCTGCGGATTTCCATTCTTTTCCCCTGAGCAACTTTACCTTTGATATTTTGTCAGTCATCTCTTAATTCATCTTGTGTGGATATTAACAGAGTTGTCGACAAAAAATGAACCATAACTATAGCGCTAATAGTTGGTAACGTTTAACGCGCAGACACAATAAATCATACCAATTTTCTAAATCTATAACTTCCAAGATTAAATTTTACGAAATATTAAGGTTGAAGAAAAACCAATAAATTTCTTACTGGAGTGGGTGATTCCGGCATTATTCGCGGATCGAACAATACAGGTGTCGCAGTCTCTTTGTTCGAGAAAAGATTTAAAAGAATCGGAACAGTCTCATCATACCTATGTAAAACATTGAAAAAAAAAATGTTGAAAAATATCAAATATTTTAAAAAATGAGTGAAAAAAGTTTTTTTTACTCATTTTTTATAGAAGTTAAAGGTAAAATATAATGATAATTTGATTTTTCCTTCAACGAGTTCGAAGTTAAAGAAAAGTGGAATACAATGAACGAAGTTGTTCAAAAGATGATACAATTTCGACTTATCAAAAACAGGAAAAAAATATTGAATCTCATATATATTCATGGTTCGATAAGAACCTTTGAATGAAGTTTTAGTGCGCTCAATTGATTAATTTAGCAGTCCGGATTTCTCACTAATAACTTCACTGTTAAAAGCTCCATCAATCAGCAAAGGCGCAAGAAATTTTCTTCACTATCTTAAATATTAAATGGTCACAAGATTGTTAGTAAACGGGTTCGAAATCCAGAGAAGGTTTAAGTCGCCAACTTTAATTTAGCCTTTAGTTTTATGTTGAGAAATTCTGTCGTCGCAGTTGTTTGGAGTAAAAATAAAATTCTCTTCCAGTATGCCCAATTTTCTCATCAGAAGAAACACAAACATACTCGTCATCTTCCTTTCTCCCGGAATCTTTATCACAAAACAAATCATTGAGATCTGTATTGTCCTTGAACTTTGATAGCTCCGCCGAAGACGCCTCTTCTTCCAGTCTAACATTCGATTTTAATGATTTAGTTCGTTCTGAATGCTTTCCTGTGGTTGATATTTAAATAAGTAAATAAATAAATTGATTAATAAATATATAAATAGGAATATATATATATATATATATATATATATATATATATATATATATATATATATATATATATAGTAGTAGTATATA